GACATGTTTGATTGCTGATACACCTTGTCAAGGCATTCAAACATGTCATGGGAAGATTTGAGTCCCCCCATTGGAATACTAACATCCATTGTGATAGAACCAAGAATCCATGAAACAACCTGTGCATTCTTAATTTTCCATTGTTTCAGTCCTTTGATGTCACCAACATTGGGTATGGATGTGGAACCATCAATATAGCCCCACATACCCTTCCTTCAACAAAATATTGGATGTGAAACTTCCAAAGTGCATAGTTGCTTCCATCTAATTTGATTGAGATAATTTCACTCTTTTCAAAACCCATGTTGAGTAAAACACAAAACATAACTAGCTGAAGCAAGCAATATAAACTGAGAACCAATCCAAGAGAGTCAATAAATAAGAAAACAAACCTCTTACAGTCAAGAGAAAGTGTCCAAAGCACAGCAAGACTGAGATTTGAGAACACAGTCCAAAAAAGGAAAGATTGACTGCTGCTGCCTAGAAGAGATGTATAGAAACTTTCACTCTTCTTTTTTCTTTTCTTCTTTTCCTATATCAAAAATAAGGGTTCAGCCCCTATATTTTTAAAATTTTCTTTTCCTTCTTTTTCTTCTCATGAATATGTTGCTTTTCTATACTTCAGCATGAACTCTATACTTTTCTGATGAAACTTATGAATAATTATTAAGGAAATCTGGTTATGGTACCTAGGGAATTACCCTATGCTTTATACATAAAAAAAGGTGCCCCCCTGTCGCCTAGCCTCGCCTTGGCGCCTTGAAAACTATGCTTGGAATAGAGAACATTTTAGGAGGCTAGGGGAAACCAAGGAGAGGATATCAACTAAGATTGAGGAATTGGGTAAAAAAGAAGCCCAAAGAGAAATTTCAAGAGAGAAAAGAGAAGAGAGGTGGAAATTAAAGGTCAAAGTGGAAGAGATTTTGAGAAAAGAGGAAATTTCTTGGAAATAGAAATCTAGACGTAAGTGGCTTGCGGAGGGAGATGGTAATACATTTTTTTTTCACTCCTTAGCATATGGAAGAAGCATAAAAAACCTCATAACCAGCATAGAAGTGAATGGATAAGAAATAAGAAGGGAACAGGAAATCATTAAAGCTTTTCTGGACTATTTTAAGGGTATTTTTGCTAACATAGGAGGAATAAGATTAGAAATCCCAGACTTAGAGTGGGATAGAGTGGAAAGTGTTCAGTCTGTAGCCTTGGAGAACAATTTCAGTCTTGGGGAAATTAAAGAGGTTGTGTTTTCAATGGAGAGATCTAAGGCTCCAGGACTGGATTTTTTTATGGCATTTTATCAAGACTGTTGGGAGATATTAAAAGGAGACTTGTTGGAAGTCTTTAATGAATTTCACCAAAGAGGAGACATTTCCCCATGAGCGAATGCCACTTTTATGGCTTTGGTGTTGAAAAATAAGGAAGTTGAGATCCTAAAGGATTTTAGACCCATTAGTCTAGTGGGGAGTCTTTACAAAATCATAGAAAAGGTCCTCTTTGGAAGATTTCAAGAAGTCTTACCCTTGGTGATTTCCCAATTTCAGGGTGCTTTTGTTGAGGGACAACAAATTATTAATCAAATTTTGGTTGTAAATAAATGTGTGACAGAGAAGAAGATGCTAGGAAGAAAAGGCAACATATGCAAATTGGACTTAGAAAAGGCTTATGATTTATTGGATTGACCATTCCTCCTAGAGATTCTAGAGAAGATAGGTTTGGATGATTGATGGAGGATGTGGATCAAAGGAGGTATAAGCTCAGTGCACTATTTGATTATGATCAATGGTGTTGATAGAGATTTTTTCTCGGAAAAAAGAGGTTTGAGGCAAGGAGACCCACTATCACCTTGTTCACCTTGATTTTTGCAGTCCTAAGCAAAATGATTATTAAGGCTAATATGGATAACTCGATTAGAGGTTGGAGGGGGTTTGGGAGGAATGAGGTAGTAGTAACTCATTTACAATTTGCAGACGACATAATTTTATTCTTTGAGGAAGCCAATCAAGATAATTTGAGGAATTTGAAGGAGCTCATTAACACCTTTGATATTGTCCCTAATCTATAGGTGAAGATGGAAAAAAATTGGGTAGCAAGGATCTACTTGGGAGAGGAAGAAGTTCAAACAATGGCAAAGATTTTGGGTTGTGAGGTTAGAGATTGGCCATTAGAGTATTAGGACTGCTATTGGGAGGGAACCCGGGGGTTGAAAGCTTCTAGAAACTTTCAGTGGAGAGATTTGCCAAAAAGCTGGTCCTTTGGGCAAAGGATTTATGTCTCATTGGGAAGAAGAATAACCTTAATAATTTGTCAAAAAAACAAAGAATAACCTTAATTAAAGCCACAATGGCTAATCTACTCATCTATTTCCTATCTATCTTTCATATTCCGGTTAGAATGGCCAGGCAACTAGAGAAGTTTATGAGAGATTTTTTGTGGGAACAAGGGGAAGAAAGGAACACTTGGTGAAATGGGAATAGTTTAGCAAACCTAAGGAGCTGGATGGGCTAGGAATTGGACACCTGATTCATTGGAATGCAACTCTCTTAGGCAAATGGTTGTGGAGATTTCCCCTTGAAAGAGATAGATTGTAGCATACGATTATTGCAAGCACTCATGGTGTGCAAGACAATGACTAGGATGCAAAGGTAGCTCCTTTCTCCATTTTAGCATCTCCTTGGAAAGCAATACAAGAACTATACCCAAATTTCCTCATTTTTACTTGTTTTGATGTGGAAGTGGGAACAAGTTCTCTTTGGGAGGACCTCTAGTTGGGTGAGACTCCTCCTAAACTGCAGTTTCCTCTACTTTATACTCTTTCAAATTACAAACTTAAACCTATCTCAACTTTTGAGACCTTTTCCCAGGTGGGGTTAAATTGGGATTTTGGGTTTAGCTGTTTAGGGGGAAGCCTTAGAGATAATGAATGTCATTCCCTTGCTCAACTACTAGCTAAACTGGATTTAGCCTTTTTCGTTCAAAAAACATCAGCTTCTCCTGATTTTTTTTTATTATTTTTTTTAATTTTGTACTTGTGCTTTTTTCTTTAATACCCTTTTACAATCCAATACTTTGGGGGAGAACTTCCTAGTGAAAGAGATTTGGAGTAAGACTGTTGGGAAGTATTCCTTGGAAAGATAAATACCTGTGACATGCTCTAGAAAAGAAGGCCAAATAAATGCCTATCTCCTTATATGTGCTTCCTATGCAAAGCAAGTAGTGAAACTATCTCCCATTTACTAATCTCCTGCCTTTTTGTACTTTCTATTTGGGAATACTTTTGCTCTCTCTTTTTGTGCATGTGGGTCCCTCCTCCAGATGTGGTAAGTCTCTTTAGCTCAAGTTTTTTTGAGGCAGCCGAAGAAAAGAGGGAGAGCTATTTTGAGTTTTGTTTTCCTCTTGGGGAGGGTTAAGAGAGTTTACCTTTCCCTCTAGCTTGCTTTGTACTTTATCTTTAATTCTTTAATAAGAGGTTCTGTTATTGATAGAAAAAAGTGGGAGTGTTATGTAGAAGACGGTTAGAGCAGCAATGGTGTGGACTATATGGGAAGAAAGGAATGGGAGAATTTTCAATGAAATTAGTAGATCCAAGGAGAAATTAATATACACTATAAAGATCAAAGTGGCATGTTTGGTAAAGACAATGGAAAATTTCCTAGCTTTCTCGGTGAATGATATAATAAGAATGTGGGCTGAAGTGACACAATCATCTAAGGAAAAAGACAGGTTGGTTATGGAATGGAAATCTCTGCTAAGCAATATGTTAAAGCTGAAATTTGATGGGAGTTCTATGGCAATCCAGGGCCGGCGGGTATAGGGGGGTGTTCAGAGATTTCTGAGGAAGGGTGGTGGCTACACACTCAGGACCTATTGGAGTGGGAGACTCTTTGAAAGCTGAATTGATGGCCTTACTACAAGGCCTAAGATTAGCAAAGCAATCTGGCTTCCGCTGCTTGGAAGTAGTGGGGGACTCAAAGCTGATCATCACTTGGGAAAAGGCATTTGCCAAGTCCCTTGGATCTACAGGCATGTCTTCAGGGAAATAGAATGTCTCTCGAAATAGTTGAACACCTACATTTGGGTTAGAAGAAACTGCAAATGGGATAGCGGACCCATTAGCAAAACAATGGGTTAATAGACATCAGCTGTTTTGGGATTTGGTGTGAATCTTTTATTATCCTGGGTTGTTGGAATATCTCAATCTGATGTACTAAACTTCTTTCATATATTCAATAAAATATTCTTTACTGATAGAAAAATTAGGTTGTAGTTCTATTCATATCCCACCAACTATCCTTGGGCTGTCCTTTAACTAAATTATTAGATCCATTTAAATCGCATCCACTATTTTCGTTACACTTCCCAAAACAAATCTAAGATCATTCATGCTGAATACTGTAAATTGGTTTGATTTCACTGAAACTTGTGACAATGGTTTTGATATAAAATGTAAATTGTTTTTTTACCAAATAAAAACCCAACATCTGGGCATTTGGGCCTTGCATTTGGTATGATAGGCCAAAGTACTCATCAGGTTGACGGCATATGTCTCATTTGGTATGATAGGCCAAAGTACTCATCTGGGCATTTCCTATTCAACTTCTCGATATGCTTAATTATTTCTACAATCGGGCATATGTCTCATTATCTTGCATGTTTCTATCCTACCTAGTTCCCATTTCCCAGTAAAAACTCCAAAAAGTAAAGATTTTGACAGGACTTTCTTTGTGAAGAAATCCCTTGAGTGATAGTTGGTAAAAGTTCCTTTTGCAACCCAACACAAGAGCCATTATTCTTCATCCAGCTGAAACTCATGTGTCTCTTATTGATGTTCAGGACTGTTTCAAGTGTTTTTTTTTTTTTTTTTCAGTTGGTTATATGGTTTTACTGATTTAAAAACCTTGATCATTTTCCTTGAATCTAAATTATGAATTGAACTGTTATCACTTTTTATTCTTACTAACTTTTGTCTTCATCTTAGTTTTAACTGTCATTTTGTAATTCAGGTCGTGCGCTATCAGCTTTAGGAAGAAAAGATGATGCTCTTTTGGCTTGGGAGAAAGGTTATGAATGTGCTGTTCATCAATCTGCAGATTTGAAGCAATTGATGGAGCTAGAAGAGCTAATTACTTGTGCAAAACAAACAAAAACTATCATTTCTGAGGATCATGTTATGGAGTCCTCCAATCAAACTGTCCCTCTTTCTGATTCAGGACTTCAGAAATTTAGTGAAAACAATAAATCAAGTGATACATCTGAACTAAGCAGAAAGTTGAATGATACACATGAAATGTACAACAAATCAAGCGAAACATCTGAAATACACACCAAATCAAGTGATACAAATGAGATACACAAAAAGTCAAGAGATGCACCTGAACAACGGTGCAAATTGAGTGAGGAACCCAAGAGGAATAGTAAAATCTTTGTAACTGGCATTCCCAAAACCAAATCGATAAGCTTGGATTTTCGATTATCAAGAGGAATAGCACAGGTTTGTGTCAATTTCTCCTTTCTTGCATGCCTAAAACCTCAAAGCTTAGTGGTTTTTCTAAATTAAAATTTTAAATTCAGACTTACTGACCATTGTGTTAGTCTCTCCAGATCCTTTATTGAATCCTTTCTTATTTCTCTTAGATCATTTTGTTGTTGTTTGTAGTTATTTCTCCATATTCTAATTTCTTATCAGCACATATTTTGATTTTCATTCCAGCATATTATCTATATGTTGCATCCCTATTCAACACCTCTATCCTTGGCTAAGCATCTGTTATGCCCATTCTAAATCTATGCCCATAAACCCTGTTAGGCCATCCACAGTTAAATGATTACTTCTTATAATCCCTCTTTTCCACCTGATAGCTGTCAGACTCACCAAGGCATTTGATAGACTTATGCTATACGAATTAGATTTTTTTTTTAGTAGAAGATCAAGACTGTAATCAGTCTTGAATCCTAATAGGTTTTAGGTTTACAAAATAGAAGAAAAGTGAGAGAAAGAAGAGAGAATAGAAGAGGAACAGGAGAACACAAGTGGTTGAAAGGAGGAACAGATTCTAACAGTTCTGCTGCCGCCACTTTCTTATTATTTATAGGTTATGTTTAGTACACAATGGAAAGGACACATCTGCCTTTAGTACTTACATAATAAATAAAGTAAATAAGGCTGAAATAAATAACAACTGAATTAACAAACTGACTCAAACTGACACTACTATAACTGGAACAAATAAGTACACATGCTGTCCTACGAACACAGTGGGGACCACTGCAGTGGGGCCCACATCAGTGTTCTCTACACTTTTTTTCAGTAGACTTTTTTTCCCTTTTGATGCATTTTCTGGTTAAAATTTGATGGATGGGGAAAATTTGTATATTGAAAGAGTTTCACACCATGAACTTCTGTATCGACTGCATGCTACCTCCTCCCTATTTTCTTCCTGTGTGTTACATTGTGGTTCTGTTGGAATTGCAAACTTCTACTTTTTTTTTGGGGGGGGGGGACAACAATGTTCTCAACCCATCTTGTACCGGCCAGTCAGACTGGTGACCTGACAATCTGGTAATAATCCCAGTTTGTGTCAACCTCTAACCTGCCATATTACAGAAAATTGTTGGCTCGGTCAACAACTCAATCGAATGGTTGAACCATTGACCTGTTTAATGGGTTTCTGTTTTTTTGTAGTATTTTAGTTTTTTGATATTTTTTTATAATGATGACATCTTGGGTTGACTGTTGATCCGGACAGTTGAACTGCTGAACTGTCAACCTGGAGGGAAAAGTGATTCAACCTCCAGGCTAGGTTTTTAAAACACTCATGGACAACTCAACCAAGCCTTACCCCAACTATACTGTTTTGATGAATTCCTATTTGTAACAATGCAAGAGTGTTTTTTCCAGGTAAATGAAGGGAAATATGCAAGTGCTGTTTCTATCTTTGACCAGGTTATACTTTCTAGATACGTGTCTCATCATGCTTCTTTCAATTTTCATCCGTTTTTGAATTTGTCCATTTATGCTGTTTTTTGGTTCCTCTGATTATCATCAAAACTATGCATACAGATATTGAGAGAGAATCCTACTTATCCTGAGGCATTGATAGGAAGGGGAACAGCATATGCATTCCAGCGAGAACTTGATGCTGCTATTTCTGACTTTACAAAGGTACAAACCACCTGAATTCTGTCACAACTTGTTTTTGCAGATTTCTTCCTCCTAGTTATAACTGCATTGCATATTGTATTTTCTAGGCCATAGAATCAAACCCATCAGCTGGAGAGGCATGGAAACGACGGGGGCAGGCTCAGGCTGCCTTGGGGAAATCTGTAGAGGCAAGATTTCACTGCTTCTTCCTCGAATTCAGCTGCCTTTTTACTAATAACTTGGAAAAATTTACTAATGCTTTCTCTGGTCACCTAAAATTTGTTGCTTCTTGTTTTTTGGATCTGAGATAAAATTTAACTCTAATGAAATGGTTAAGAAGGGGAAAACAAAATGAGGAAGGAAAAAGAAAGGGACCATAGGAGAAGTTTATAATGATGATGGCAAATTGCAATACAAATTACCCCTTGGGACCAGTCATCCAACATGATAATCCTTCTCACTAATCAACGTTAATCAGGGGAGAACTAGGATTTTGTTTGGATAAGCTTTTGCTTTTGTGTTTTTCAGAGGACAAAAACACGAAATATATTTCATACTTTTACTGTGTAGTTTTGCAGTTTGGTAAATATTGTTTTCAAAACAAGGTTTTGAAAGTGAAAGCATAAATAAGCGTTTGGTTGTGACATATTGCTTTACCACAATCGACATGAAAAATTCTACATGTCAGCATATTATTTGTGCCGTGTTCATCTTGCCACGTGGCAAATCCACATGTTTTCAAAGAGCCTATCTCTTTTAAGCTGCAATGTGCCATCAAATCAGCCAGGCCATGTGCTGTGGTTTGTAAAACAGTTGTTAAAAATGACAATGGTTATGACATGCTGTACAAATTAATACCACGTGGCACAATTTTTTGCCATGTATCAACTATGAAATTCTTTCCAACTGAAAACTTTCATGACCTAGAGACATGACATAAGAGTGTCATGTGGCACAAAAGTGCAGCATGGCAATTCTAAATATGTGGCATAAAAGTGTCACATGGCATGCCATGTCTTTACAGTATATATAAATATGGCATGAGGGAAGGCTTTACATGCTCACGTCTTCCGTTTGGCTTTTTGCGAAAAAGAAAAAATGACCCAAGCTGGCAGCCAATGCATGAAGCATCCTATTCTTCATCATGCTTTTTATTGCAGAAGTGTTTTTGCGTTGAACAACACATGTTACCAAACTTTGAAGCAGTTTTTTGCTGCCTAAAGCACAAAGGTACTTTCAGAAAGCTTATCCAACACAATCCTAGCTTGAAGCTGACTCGTGGATATGGTCAAGTGTGAGATTATTCAATGAAGTATTTCTCTTTCATGAAGCTGAATTAGTCAAATATATACTGAAAGAAAATGGGTATGGATGGAGAGTCACAAGAAAGTATTGTAACCATGTAAACACATTGCAACACATGTCAGGCTACCTTGACAATTCTTGATTGTCATAATAAGGTAGTAGATGTTAGAGGTAGTCTCTATTTTTCATATTGTAGAGATGCAGTAAATTAGTTTGTTGTTCCGTTGGTTATTATATTTTTTATTGTTGTCTTGTTATTTTTATTAGAATGTTACTTTTCTTTCTTTCTTACTGGGCAGCAGGGGTATTCCTGTCATTGTATACGGCTTTTAAGTGATAAATATAAATTGTCTTAGGGGCGGTAGGTAGTTAGATTTTTGCACTTTTTTTATCATTCTTCTTCTCTTCTACCATCTTCTTCTCCTTCTCTTCTGTTTTCTCTGTTCTTTTTCTTTTACTGTTTTTTTCTTTACTAAAATGGGTCTGGGTACCATTGGTTACATCCAACTCATATATTAGTGGATTGTTTTGTATCATTTGGGGTAGGAAAAAGGCATGCACTCACAGAGTGATTTGATTTTTTATTTGATTGTTGGCAATTTTTGTGTTTTATTGTAGGGTTGCAAGAAAGTGTTGTGACCATGTGAACTCATCAAAACCATAGCCTAACATGTTGAGCAATTAGCTCAAACAACCATGGAACTTACATGCAACCCTCGAATAAAGCACACACATGCTATCAATCAAATGAAAAACCAAACCACCCATGAATGCACTCATTGGGTGATTTGTTTTTTCATTTGATTGATGGCATGTTTATGTTTTATTGAAAGATTGCATGAAGGTATTGTGGTCATAGTAAGGTAGTAGACCCTAGAGTCAATCTCTATCTTTTTATATGTTAGTGTGTCATTTGAGATAGCAATATCAGGATGCACTCATTGGATAATTTGTTTTTTCATTTGATTAATAGCATGTCTGTTTTATTAGAGGATTGCAAGCAAGTGTTGTGACCACGTGAAAACATCAAACCAAATCATCCAGGAAAACACTCACCGGGTGATTTTGTTTTTCATTTGGTTGATAGCATGTTGTGTTTTATTGGAAGGTCATGAGATCTCATTGCTCCACATGTTAAATTATGTTTGTATTTCTTGATTGTGAAAGTAAGGTAATGGACCCTAGAGGCATAGTTTTCAAGGCATCAAGGTGAGGCTAGGTAATGTCTTTTTTTTTTCCCTGAATAAAAGGATAAAAACCATGAATCATAGGGTATTTCCTTAGGTTCCATAGCAATCAACAACTATCTCTTTTATGGTAGTAAATTAAAAATAAAATTTATTAAAAACCATCTTTTGCTATTAATTGTCTATAATATTCATAAAAAATTTATAAGCTTAATTTGAAACATAGAAACTCAACGTATTCATGATAAAAATGGAAAAAAGAAAAGAAATTTCAGAAAATAGAGGGGTTGAGCCTCTACTTTTGTCCTAGGAAAAGAAGAAAACAAAACAAAGGGTAAAAGAAGAAGAAGAAGATGATGATCATGATGAAAATAATTGATATGTGTTGCTTGGATAAAATTTTGAGTTCTTCTGTGCTTATTGGTTCAAGTTTTGATGTGTTCGAGGGTTCAAGGCAGTATAAATGTTGATTGAGCCCTAACAAAAGAGAAGAATAATAAAAAGAAACTAGTATTTTAACTTAAACTGAATAATTTAGTTTAATAATGTCTATTTTATTAATATAATTTCAAAAAAGCTAAGAATATAAAAGTATCAATAGGACCATGTAAAATCATCTTAGCGATTATGCAAGCCGACCTTCCATGAGTGTCTTATTGCCTACCTGTGTCTTCTTCGCCTGTACTGGGTGACTCTAGTAAGGAAACATTCCAGTGTTAAGTGCTAGGATTGATCAACGACATTGGGTGTATAATAGGAAGAGAAGAATCTCTATACATGTTGGTGGAGGGGTTGGTGTTGAAGGGGGAGAAGTGTATGAACAGGGGGAGTCAAGGGAGGAAGATAGGGGGGCAAGGAGGTGATAGAGGTTCCTGAGGGAGATGAATGCTCAGGTAAGGGGAACATTAATGGGGGAAGGGTGGACATTGATCAACTAGTTGAGAGACAAGTGGTAGTGGGGAAGTCTCTTGGTCTATTCTTCTTGGGTGGGAAGAATGTGGTTAGGAAAGCAATTTATTTTAATCCCCAAACTTTACTCCAGGTGGAGGGGTGCCACCGAAAATTGTATTAAAAGATATAAAAAAAAGTACCTTTGAGGGCGAACATAAAAGCCTAATCCCTCTAAAGAAGCTATACATGGGGATAATCGGCTTATAAAAAACAACAAGAAAGCATCCAAGATACTCTAAAATCAATGTGAACGAAGAAAAGGGATCCCACACCCATCAACCCTGATCAGAGTGCTGACGTGAGAAGGGAGATCCTCCAGACTTGTAAAGAACTTTTGCTGCGTGTGAGAACATCTTAGCTTAGAGAGAGCACCAGCCGGCTGGTTTGCTTCCCTATAAATATAAATATGTAAAAAATTAGTCTCTAAGGCTCAGTTTGAAAGGAGTACAAATACAAATATGTAGAATGCAAAACCTTATATTTTGTATGTATTTGCACTGTACATATTTGTATTTGTACTCCTTCCAAACTGTGCCTAAGGTATTCACCATATCTGTAATCCGTATATGCTGTACCACAGTTTCTAAGGAGGTGAAGCTCTGCCCATGATGATATGAAGTAAAACCAAGGAGTCTGACTCCACCAAAATCCTATACAATCTCCCAAAGCTTATGCCAAAAGGAGCCCATCCAACAGAGCATTTGCCTCTGCCATTAAATATGTGTCAACTCCATATTGGTTATGAAAAGCTCTGATAAATCCATTGTGACCATCCCTTAGAAGCCACCTCCACCACATAGCCCTGGATTTCCTTGTGACGCACCATCAACATTCAGCTTCACAAATCTGCCACAAACTGGATTTAGGTAAAACTGTAGACCACCTTCATTCTTTTTGGCTTGACACGACAGGAGAAATATCAAGACCCATGGCTAAGATTGAGGTACATTGGCTATGACTAGCTGGGCACTGGAAGTTAATCAAAGGAGATATCTCATGAGCCCACCTCAAAATTAACCAAATCACCACCTGTGAACATCTATATCTGCCTTTTGACTGCTGTTGGTTTCTCTCTTTCCATATTTCCCACATAGTAAAACAATCCACCATGCCCAAAAGGGTTGCCCATTGGTTTGCCACTTCAGAAGCAATCTGGAACCAGCCAAGCAAGAGCTCCCTTGCTGATTCAGTACCCCTAAATTCCACACCCAGAATTCTACTGAAGTGACCCCATTACTTCTTCTCCAGGAAACCATGCACCAGAAGATGATCCATATCTTCCACACTAGGTTCTCTACGACAGTTATATTGAGAGACTAAAGCAATATCCAGTCTTTGGATATCCACATCTACTCCCAATGTACCCATCAATATTTTCCAGACAAAGAAACTGATTTTCGTTGGAATCCCCTTATTCCACACAAATTTATACCAATCCACTGTTGGCCTGGGGGTTTGAAGCATATTCCAAGCTGATTTAGTTGAGAAATCTCCTTTGGAATCCCTAGTCCAAACAATAGTATCCTTCCTATTGGAAATTGTAATATGGGAATTGCAAATCATCTCAATCACCCCCTGGCTCAAAATATTTGTGACACCCACTAGATTCCAGTCACCATTTTCATTAAGAGCATCATGAACTAGAATGCCCACGTCCAAGCCCTCTACATGCGTAACCTGATTAATTAATGGTCCCACTTCCAACCATTTGTTGAGCCAAAAATCGACATGACCCTCTCCAATCA